AGACATCAACTCCGTGTAATAAACTGAATAAAGAACAAATCCAAAAGTCAAACTCCGCATCATATTCACTCTCTGTGAGAGCGAGAAGGCACTTGGAAGGATTCTAAATGGAGAGCACGTGCTGACAACGAACATGCGCTAGCAAGGTTTTTCACGGCGTAGCCCCACAATCAAAGCGGTAAGAGTGCTGAAATTTTCCGAGCATGATCCATGACCATGTTTGGACAGTCGCAAATGAAAACAAATTTCACATCCTTTTCATGTGTTAAATGGAAATTGTACATATACATTGCAAAATTTATGGTGATATATGCTAGTGACTGCAAAAGGTAGGTGTAAAGCAGAGCCATTCGTGCAGCCAATGACCTGAGTACTTCAAGTCTGGTGCAAAACGCATGATCGCGCAGTCCTGCCCGGTGCGTTCCAGTCTGGGTTTTTAAACCATTATAAATTCTCAAAATTTGCCCAAAAGATTTGGTTTTTTTGAGTAGCGGGGCTTTGGGATAGAACAATTTGCTGCTAGTTCTTTTTTTTTCTATATGGCATGTAAATAAGTAGTTTTATCACTCACTGACAGCATTTAATAATGAAATATACGCATATAAAACAAAAACAGCGTCAAAGACAAAAGTGTTAGAACAAACGAAAAAATTGAAACTTGCAGAGTGAAACAGACACCATTCACTACAGTATACCTACCTGTGTTTTGGGCAATTCGCCCCGATAATGGGCCTTCGTTCTGGCAAGCGAAAATCGTCACTGGGAGTCGATTCGCGATCCGACCACTTTGGAATAGAGCCACGTTCGCGGGCGTGCCAAGCAGCGATTGAATGTGATCGAGGCAGATCAAAATGCCTCGATGCGGTAGCCGAAAAAGGTCGGCTCCAGTCTTCTGGCCACCCGCTACAGGTGTACCGGACTGCGTGACCGCTGTTTCTTTCCACTGTAACATTTTTTCAAGAAGCAAAGGAAATAAACAGCAACGCGCACCAGACTCGCCGGTGCGACCATGCGTTTTGTGCAATTCCGTCCACCGAACGAAAGTGTAAAGCAGTCAAAATAGTTGAAACGTTGAAAAATAGTTAAAAATTTCACTCACTGGCACATGAAAACTGAATTTGAAACCTCGAAGGGTGAATATCCTTCTAAAGTTTCATTTTCTTAATTTTCTGGCTTTCGAATGATCTTTGAAACAAAACTGTCACGTGGTCGTACATGTGATCTTGGCATACTTAGGAACTGAAATCGAGTTTGTGTAGTCTCTGCTCAGGCAGGAAACATTCTTTTGAAATTTTCAGCCTCCCAACTCTCCTGGCACCCGAGATGATGATTTTTCTCGCCAAAACTTCCACAGAGACGTTAAAAATATGCGGAGTTGCACGTGGGCAAAGGTTGCCACGCTAAAATTTCAGCTTCCTAGCTTTTACAGTTCACGAGACAATTTCCCTGCCGAAACTTTTACGGGGCCGTACGTAGTACCCAAGAGTGCGTGAAGGTTCAATCTAAATTTACGGAGGTCGTACGCTGCTAGGGCACATCGACATAAAATTTCAGATTCCGAGCTTTCGCAAATAACGAGACAGTAATTTACCCGCCAAAATTCTTACGGGGCCGTAGGTGATACCCGAGAGCGCGGGAACGCTGAATTTGAATTTGCAGAGTCGTACGTGGGCAGGAAGTCATTACTGTAAAATTTCATCTTCCTGGATTCCGTGGTCCCCTAGATAATAATTTTCCCGCCAAAACCTTCATGGGGTCGCAGGTGGTAACCGAGAGTGCGGGAACGCTGAATCTGAATTTGCAAGGCCGTGCGAAGGCAGGCGGCTGTTGCCCTAAAATTCCAGCTTCCTCGATTCCGTGGTTCCCGAGACAATAATTTACCTGCCAAAGTTTTCACGGGGCCGTTCGTGCTACCAGAGGGCAGAAGGATAGATTTAAATTTTCTGAGATGCATGTGGGTAGAGGACATGCCCACAAAATTTCAGCCTTTTAGCTTCCGTGGTTCCCGTGATAATAATTTTATCCATTCAAACTCTTACGGGGCAACAAGTGTTACCTGTGGGTAGAGGGAGGCTGAATTGAAATTTGCGGGGCCACGTATGGGTGGGGAACGCCCTCCCAAATTTTCAGCTTCCTAGCTTTCGTGGCTCCCGAGTTGAAAGTTGCGGGCAAGTTGCTGCGGACACACACATACACACACACACACACACACACACACACAAGACAACCCCGTGACAATATGCGTTTTGTATGCTATTACACAGCGCAAAACGCACAAAAATGGAAAATAATCTGATCAGAAGGGTAACGAAATGAACTTCAAGCTGCTCCGCCTCACTCACAAGTAGTAAACTCACTTAATGTTCGTTATTACTGAGCAACGAACTGGCTATAAATCAAGCGGATCTTTTTAAATAGCTCGAAGCTATATGTGGAAATACAGTAATGAAACTAGCATTTAACGAAAACGAAATGAAATTTTTATGATAACAATCACGGTCCACTTTCAAATTGTGCCGTTATTTTAACGCAGTAGTAGTAATATTGAGCTGATTTGTTGCGGAGGGAGGAGAGGGAGCGGGAATTCTTTTTGCATTACAATGCGGGATGGTATCCAAACCCAACACCCACAAAAAAATAAACCAGAAGTGTAAGAGAAATCTAATAAAGCTAAAAAATATACAGCAGAAGAGTTTTAAGAACCTAGAAAACTGAAGCCAGAAACGCCTCATCATAACTGCTAAAAAGCCGTACAATCTCCGCCGCTGAACAAATTCAACATTGTTTCTGAGTGTCCGCGCTGCAGAACAAGCTTCGGCCGAGAAAAAATGAAGTATGCAGCGCCTTCGCCTGCTCTGACTTAAGCCGTGCTTAGACACTTCTCAGAGATCAGGAAGAAGCAAACCAACTCTCAGCTAGCACTGCCCAGACGTATGCCGCAGTGAATGCGTGGAATGAGATACAACAGCCTTTCCGTACAATGCAACTCCGACGGCATCAGATGGGCGACAGCACCCGCAGACTACGCTTTTTATGCGTTTTTGCCGTGCAGCGCTAGAGCGCTGCAACAGGCAGCAAAAACGCATATTG